TTTTTTTTTTTTTTAATGCTAATGCCAACATTTCCATGATCTGATTAGACATAGCTTATTATAGAAAGTTATTTTGCTAAATGTCATATATATGAATCTTTTTTATCTTATATAGGTTGGTGTGAACTCAAAAATATTCAAGAGCTGGCATTCACTAACAACAATTTTGAGGGAACACTTCCTTCATGTCTTGGAAACTTGACATCACTTAAATGGTTGGATTTGGATGGGAACTACTTCACTGGAAATATAGACTCACATCCATTTTGGAGGAGACTCGCATCACTTGAGTACTTGGATATTTCATTTAATCAATTTGAAGTTCCACCGTCATTCAAGCAGTTCGCCAACCATTCAAAACTGACATACTTGAATGTTGGCCATAATACAATAACTAGAGACACCGAATTTCAGAATGGGATCCCAAATTTCCAGTTGCAGTTTTTTGCTGTTGAGGGATGTATAAACCTTCAGAAATTGCCTTCTTTCCTTCACTACCAGTATGACTTGAGAGTTCTTGCTATTGATGGAAATCAATTGCCAGGAAACTTTCAACCTGGTTGTTAGAGAATAACACCAGACTTGGAGGACTTTATGCTAGAGATAATGCTTTCATTGGACCGTTGAAGTTGCCATCAACTTCTCTTCCCCATCTACATACTATTGATGTTTCTAATAACAAACTAAATGGATATATTCCAGCAAACTTTAGTTCAGCCTTCCCAAATCTTAGTATTCTGAACATGTCTCAAAATTTGTTGGAAGGCCCTATACCTTCTGGGATTAGTGGCATTTCTTTAAAATATATAGACCTATCTCATAATTTCGTCTGGGCGAGTTCCTAATGATCTGACTAGTTTTCCAGAATTGTTCTACCTTCCGCTGTCAAACAACAGGTTGAAAGGGCAAATATTTTCGAAGGATTTCACATCAGGTACACTATCTTTTTTGTATTTGAATGGCAATAACTTTGAGGGACCACTACCTAGTAATATTTTTCTTAGAGCCTTTATTGTACTAGATGCTAGCAACAATAATTTCTCTGGAGAGATTCCGAGATGGATTAGAGATAATTCAAGATTATTACAACTTGATCTGTCCAAAAATCATTTCGAAGGCTCGATTCCAGTTGAAATTTGCAATTTGAAGAGCATTGTGGTCTTAGCTATGTCCGAAAATAGACTTTCAGGCACTATTCCTTCTTGTGTGAGTAGTTTGCCCCTTGAACACATCCATCTACACAAAAATCAATTGGGTGGTGGACTTGAATATGCACTTTCCAACATCTCTTCTCTGATTACATTGGATCTTGGCTACAATAGTTTTACAGGAAGTATCCCACACACCATAGGCTCACATTCCAATCTGAACTTCCTTCTCCTCAACCATAACCAATTGGAAGGAAATATCCCAGCTCAGATTTGTTTGTTGAACAAGTTGTCCATCATGGATTTATCTTTTAATAAGATTTATGGTTCACTCCTTCCTTGTTGGGTAAACTTAATACAAACCAAAAGAGATGGAGAAATAAGGAGTGTCTATTTTATGAGATCTTCCAAGCAAGCTTGGATAAATTTCTTGACCTGGAAAATTTCAGCAATGCACTACCATAATAGATATGGATTTGTAACTGACTTCAATATGATGAATGTGGAAACTCAGGCCCAGTTTTCAACTAAAAGAAACTCATACACTTATAAGGGAAGCATTCTAAAATACATGTTAGGTATTGATCTATCAAGTAATAGATTAACTGGTGAAATTCCCATTGAGCTGGGGAATTTGAGCAAAATACATGCGCTGAATCTATCACACAACCATCTCATTGGAAGAATTCCAGAAAGTTTCTCATACTTGCATGAAGTCGAGAGTTTAGACCTTTCTTACAACAGCTTGAATGAGAGTATTCCTGTTGGTCTACTTGAGCTACATCCTTTGGCAGTGTTCAGCGTGGCATTCAGTAACTTATCTGGTAGAGTACCCCGAGTTTAAAGGTCAATTCGGAACTTTCGACAAAAGCAGCTATGAGGGAAATCCATTTCTTTGTCGTTATCCATTAGACAACGAATGTAGAAGTACTAAATTGTCAAATACCTCCAAGAATGGAAGTGATGAATCTGACTTGGATTCTATGGAAAGTTTCTACGTCGGCTTTGGCGTGTCTTATGGAGCAATCTTGCTGGGATTAGCTGCAGCACTCTGCTTCAATCCTTATTGGAGAAGAGCATGGTTTAGGCTTGTTGAGGCATTATTGATGCTCACTTCTTACTATTTTCTCTTAGACAATGTTGTTAGCCCTCTCAAGAATTGGTGGTGAAGGAAAGGTAATTGTTATTCTCTTATTGTATGAACTTTATTATTTGCGCTATGTTGCTACTTTATCATCCTCAATAAAAATGATACATTTCAGACATTTCTTTTCTCTTATCTTTCCGTCGTTTTAGATTATGATAAAATAATAGGTTACCATAGGAGTGAAATAAATGGAAGAAACTAAGACGAGAGTTTGAAACTTCTTGACTTTTAAAAGTAGGCTTTATACAGGCACTTCAACAGAGAGTGAAAAAAACCTTTTGAAGTTTTAAGAGACTTTACCTCCTATTACCACATTTGAGTGAGATAAATTGTCATCAATTGATCTTATATATACTATGGAAGTTGGAGGAAGGCAGTGATGACTTCCACTTGTTTTAAGCTTAAAAGTTCAAATTATATGCCCTTCATTGAACATGAAAGTTTCTTTTATTTCTTCACCATAATGAAAAAAAACAGATTATATAGTAAGAGTTATTAATCCAATATTATTTATTTATTTATATATTTACGCGTTTGATTAATATTAAAAAGCATTTATAAGCTAAATTTAGTCAAAACCACCAAATGATCAGCTTATAAGCAATTTTATCCGTATTTTTCAAAACATTCTTTTCAAAACAAAATTTCTAGCTCTCTCTTTATTCCATGTTTGTCATTCGTTTTTTAAAAAATAATGTAAAAGCACTTTCAAATTTACTTTTTTTGTATAAATATATTTAAGGATATATAAATTAGTTTAATATTTTTTCCAAACACAATCACTACACATTATCATTTTTGACACTTCTATCAAAAGACATATATATATAGAGAGAACTAAAAAGAACTTAGAGTGAGAGACTGTACAAACCTTCGTCTTATTTTGTTCATTTGCCTTTACGCTCTTCTTGTTTTTCTCTCTGCCTCCCAACAACCATTTGCCGCAATTACCAACAGAAAAAACACCCACAATCATAATTTAATATCCTCCATATCTTTCATCCCCACTAGTACTCTGCTCTTTTTTCTTTTGATTATATTCTTTCTTTCTGGCGCTGTAAACCTTGCTGTTGTTGTAGCTAGCGGAAGGTTTATATAGGAATTACAACACCTCTACTACCACGATAAAAAAATCTTTGGAAAATAAAGGAGTGACCCTCTCAGTAGCTTCCCAACATGGATGATGTGAAATTAGTCGAGTCAACATTGAGAACTCCATACTTGATCAGGCATTTATGTAGTAAACAACAACATGTTGAAGTTTTGTTAACTGTCGATTAGAACCTCCTGGGATTATTAAGAGCGAATTAACTGGAAAATAGTTACTTTCAACTGCTTTAATGAGTAACTCTCAGTACCTTCACACCCCAAAATTTCATTTGGAAAATTTCACAAACACATGGTACACGATTTAGTAGTTGACATTTGCCACTATAAGGAACCCACAAATAAGAAGTATTTGAGGTTTAAGAAATGAAAATGGATATGTCATAAAATTCAAAAATCCTAAGCATTTATTTTTCCCTTCTGCCATAATGAATGGGATTAATGTGTATTTAACATTAGAAAAGGCAAACAACTTTCCTTTCCCTATGCCTAAGGAGTTATTTTTTGAAGAGTTACAAAACTTTTTGGAGAAATATACATATGCAAGAGGAGCTGGAGTGGGAATGCACTTTAACAAGGCATTGAAATTGCTTCTCTTGCAACAAATTTATTCTGCTTACCATGGTTTGGGCCATCTCTATGTCAAATTCAATGGAGCGAAAAAGCTACGCTAAGGTATGCTAGAATTCTATCCTTTAATTTTTTTTTTTTTGCACAAGTAAATACACTACATGTTTTAGATCATTGAAATAATTCTATTTTAAAATTCAGAATTTCATAATTGTTTAAAGACAACTTTGGGACTGACATCAAGGAGTTAGTTCTTGTCATGACCCAAAATCCAACTAGCCGTGATAACACCTAACCCAAATCACTAGGTAAGCCAGTTAACAATAAACCAGTTCAAATGAGATTTATTAAGAGAAGAAATGATAATACAGCTGAACTACTATACAAAGAATTCCCAAGGACTGATAGTACAAAGCATGAACTTCTAAGATTTAGAGTTTACAAAGCTAGTATAAAATAAATCTTTCATCTACCCGAATTATACATAAATAGATTTTTCATAAGTCGAGAGCTACCATGAACAAGAGGCAACTATAACCGGAACGCAGGTATGCCTCCAATGATAGATCCTGTCATACACAGCAACGTCAACATCCAAATCTGCACGCAAGGTGCAGAAGTATAGTATGAGTACAACCGACCCCATGTACTCAATAAGTAACAAACCTTACCTTAGATTGAAAGTAGTGACGAGCTGGAACAGGGATCAGAGTCCCACATCAATAGCCAACAATAGTTCATAACAAAGCAATAATAATGGTACAAGAAACATACTCAGATATATGATTCTCAACTCGTTTCCAGTTCCGAAAAAATAGGCATGATTTTCAAGTATATTAGTGAAAACTAAATTCTTTTACCAAAATCACCAAAATATGAGTACGTTTGTAAAACTGTAATTATTCCCGAAACTTCCAACAATAGGTAAGATGTTCCATTATCAAATGACATGAGGAAATTACATCTCCATGCCTATATGTCAATGTATGCATGCCATTTGTAATACAATGCAGTGATAAAACCATATGCATCCTCTCGGTGTATCAATGCATTCAGTCCTCCCAATCCCTCAATCCTCATAGTCACTAAGTCCTTACAACCACTCAGTCCTCACAATAAGTCAATCCTCCCAATCACTCGGTACTCACGCTCGGTACTCGCACTTGTACTCGCACTTAGTAGTTACTTGCGCTCACTGGGGTGTGTACAGACTCCGGAGGGGCTCATTCAGCCCAAGTGATATAATAAGCCAATCATGGTGTAACTCAATAACATTTGTTGTGGCATGCAACCCACTCCCATCATAAATCAATAATACTTGTTGCGGCGTGCAGCCTGATTTCATCAATATCCTCACAATTAAGCCCTCATCCTCGCTCAATCATAGATATCTCCAGTCTCTCGGGCTCATAATATCATAAAAAATTAGCCCAAAAATAATGATGTGATATATCAATAAATGTTAACAGAGACAAAGATATGATATGCATATGAATGCGTAAGACTGAGTATGTAATTGCAATGTAAGCAAATAATTCAACAGCAGAAATGACTTCAGTGGGTCCCAACAGAATAAGCATGTAGCCTAGACATGGTTTCTAACATGGATCACAGCTCAATAGCTCTAGTACATAGAGACTTCATTGTTACAGATAAGATCAAGTAACTACACAGTACCACAGAAATAATAGAGTTGCAATTCATACGGTGCACGCCCACATGCCTGTCACTGTAACAACCCGGCTGGTCGTTTCGAGAGTTGTAGCTCCGTTCCCCCATTTTCTGCTCCTTTGTGCTCTACAACTGTTATATGACTTACCGGGTTAGTTGGTTCCGGAGAGATTTCAGAGTGAATTGAGACACTTAGTCTCTTAATTGAAAGCTTAAGTTGGAAAAGTTGACCGGATGTTGACTTATGTGTAAACGACCTCGAATTTGAATTTTGATGGTTCCGTTAGCTTTGTCAGGTGACTTTGAACTTAGGAGAGTGTGAGTATTGTAATTTGGAGGTCCGTAGTAGAATTAGACGTGAAATGGCAAAAGTGGGAATTTTGGAAAGTTTGACCGGGAGTGGACATTTTGATATCAGGGTCGGATTGGATTTTTGGAAGTTGGAGCAGGTTTGTGGGGTCATTTGTGACTTGTGTGCAAAATTTGAGTCAATCGGACGTGATTTGATAAGTTTTGACGTTGTTTGTAGAGTTTAAAAATTTCAAAGTTCATTAGGCTTGAATCCATCATATTTTTGGTGTTGTTTGAGGTGATTTGAGAGTTCGACTAAGTTCGTATCATATTTTAGGACTTGTTGGTAGTTTGATTGAGGTCCCAGGGGCCTCGGATGGATTTCGGGTGGCTAATAGATCGAAGTTTGACGTTGAAGGATGGCTGAAGTGTTGTCTCTGTTGGTGTAATCGTACCTGCGGATGGGGAACCACAGGTGCGAGCTCGCAGATGCGGAGAGGAGCAGTGCAGATGCGGAGTTGAGGTGATGTAGTAGATTGCCGCAGGTGCGATGGTTTTCATGCACCTGTGTGACCGCAGAAGTGGCAAAATGGCCGCAGTAGTGGATATTGGCCTGTGGGCTGGGCTCCGCAAAAGCAGATACTTCCTTAGAAGAGTGAGCCCGCAGGAGAGGGATTTTGGTCTGCAGGAGCGGTAGTTTTCACAGAAGCAGGTGACTTGTTCGCACCTGCGAAGCCGCAGATGCAGCTAAGTGACCGCAGGTGCGGAAGGCCTAGGCAGAACCTATATAAGCGAGGTTCTAAGATTTTTGGCCATTTCTAACATTTTGAGCTAAGATTTTAGAGATTTTTAGAGGGTTTTTGAAGAGTTTCTTGAGGTAAGCTCATTGTGTTTTTTTCCCTTCAATAATTATGTTTTCCCACCTAGTTGGTGTGTTTTTGAGGTGAAATTTAGGGGTTTGAGGCTACAGATTTAGAGATTGAATTTGGGGATTTGAATGACCATTTGGTATCGGATTTTGATAAATTTGGTATGGTTAGACTCGTGAGTGAATGACATTTGGGTTTTGTTACTTTTGTCGGATTTCGAGACGTGGGCCCGGGGGCGAAGGTTGAGCCGATTTCGGATTTTGAGCTATAATTTCATAATTTATTGTAGAATCGATTCCTTTAACCCGTATTGATTGTATTTTACTGCTTGTGACTAGATTCGGGACATTTGGAGGCCGATTCGCGAGGCAAAGGCATATTTGAGTAGCATTTTGCGCGGGTTGAGGTAAGTAATAGTTTTAAATATGGTCCTGAGGGTATGAAATTCCGGATTATGCGTTATGTGATTGATTTGGAGGTGACACACGTGCTAGGTGACGGACGTGTGGGCATGCACCATAGGAATTGTGACTTGGTCCATTCTGTGGAACTGTGAAGTTGAATAACTTGTTGATAGCTATATGCTTTCCTTGTGCTATAGAATTTGACTGCAAATCAGGTTAGAAATTATGCTTAGGCCATGTGTTGACACTGTTGAGACCCGCCGAGGTCGTGTACTTGTTGAATTATTTGCTAACTGATGTTTTGTACTCAGTAACGAATTTACTTGCATATCATATCTCGCTCTCTTCTTTTTCTTGTTGATACATTATATTATCTCTGTTTGGGCTGATTTTTATGATTTCTGAGAGCCCGAGNGGCTGCATGCTGCAGCGATATAGCGCTTGGGCTGAAGGAGCCCGTGTGGAGTTTGTACACCCCCAGTGAGCGCAAGTACCTATTGAGTGTGAGTGTTGAGGGTTGGGTGTGG